GGCCCAGAGGAGATTAAGCCGAGCGATCCCAAGCCAGAGACAACTCCAGAAGCTGCGCCCCGCGCAGCCTACTCTGTGGACAATCTTGTAGATGCCGAGAAGAGCATTCAGGATCCCAAGTTTGCATCATGTATGTATATGTAGAACCCTATAAAATGAATCGTGTATATATAGAACCCCTTTTCGATTCAGAAGACCATTCAGGATCCCAAATTTGTATATGTGTAGAAGCCCTCAAACGTACCCCTGGCTGTCGAGAGACGCCTCTAGCCTCTGAACCCTGACGATCACCCTGATCATGAATAGGAGGAGACACGGCGGGCTACTTGGATGCGCTTCTCACGGACCTTGGAAGGACCCTGCTAGATCTATGCGCAATTACAATTTAGCTACCAAGGGGGTCATATAGGGTAATAGGGGTCTATATCGAATTCCTGCTATAGCTTGTATACGTAATAACGGGCATACTATAGGATCTGATCGTTTAGTATCTAAAATTTCAATATAGATATCTTAGATGCTCGAACCAGCCTTGAGTTCCAAAATTATCTAGTTATGGGAAGCGCCGTGTCTGAAGGACCTGATTGCCCTGCGGCCGTGACGCAGGAGATCAAACGATTGACCATGTCGAATGGCCGCCGCAGTACCTTGGGTGATTTCCATAACTAGTTCGGGTTCGAAAGGCTAAGCTATTATTATATTAATTTCTTGGGATAGCATCTGCCCAGATCCCGACAAGCTGAATGCCTTGTTCCGGGAGTACCTCATGGCTAATGAAACCTGGGGACAATCCAGGGTGGTGGCGGTTTACACGTGGATGCAGGAGACTCACAACCAGGATGTCTCGGAGTGGTACACACAGAAGGCCAGCTGTGGCCTAAATCCTGATGAACCCTACTGTAAACCTTAAACCCTAAACCCCAAACCCTGAACTTTAAAATTAATAAGCCTAGCTTATAAGAGATAATTGGTTTATTAACCACAAAATTGCCTCTCTTGGCGCCTCTGTAGACCCTCTTCCAGTCCCCATGACACGCCTAACATCGCTTTTTGCAGGGTCAACAAAGTCTCCCTCAAAATAAGGGGAAACTGAGGGAGACTTTCTTGACCCTCCAAGAACCAATTTGGATTTACACATTTGCCTTTACTGGGGCCCCTAGACCCTCTTACCGATCTATATAATGTATCCCTGAACTCGGAACTGCTGCCTACCGGCAGGAGTTGATGGACAAATACAAGGACAAAGATCTTGTTGACGGCTTGATCTTGGACAAGGAGCCTGAAAACTGAAGATGCAAGCGCCAGATCCCTTGGACCCAAAAAACCCTTACTAGAAACCCTAAGCCAGATCCCCTGGACCCAAAAATCCCTGCTAGAAACCCTAAATGCAGTTCCCATTTCCGGCAGGAGCGCGATGGTCTGTGGAAATATCATCCAGACTTTCCCAAGAATGAGGTTGCCGGTCTGCAGTAGTCAGGGTTACTTTTAGACGTAGAATTGCCTTATTTGGTTAATGTGCATTGTTGGGCCTCCCTCTTGTGCAGCAAACCTGGTAAAGGCAATGAGACTCTTCAAATGCTGGAAGCAATCGACCGAGACCAAGAATGAGAAGCAGACGAGAAGCATCACGTACACTCAGGAAGGCAACGCCTCCAGTCCTGGGGATGTTGAGATGGACGAGGGCAATGTCGAGAAGCCCAAAAAGGCCGATACTTCCACTTCGGTCAAGAAGAAAACGACAAGCCAAATGGCGAAGTCTGTGCCCCTACTGCCCTATAACAACTTAGAGTGGTTGGGGATGTTAATTAAATTGGGATCCTGTGTGAACGTTAACTACTGAGGCGATTGTTCTGGCAAATGCGAATTTGCTGGAGATCAAAGGATACCGGAAGCAGTTGGAGAAAAACGGAGTGCACCTGAGCTAAATTGGGGCTGATGGACCCGGCTAGTATATGCTTGAGTTTGTTTATAGTCCCCCTTAAGTAGATATATAATATATATGGCTCTCGGTACATTATAATAAGATCCCCATATACCCCATATTCTACTACTTAAGGGGGACTATAAATTCTGCAAGGCAGAAGGAGCTCTTGCAGGCCCTCGTTGCGAGCATGGACACTCACCATGCCATCATAGAGAGTCACCGCTCCGCTCTGGAGGCAAGGGGAGTTCATTAGTCGTAGATAGCAGCACCAGCAGCAGCAGCAGCAGCAGCACTAGCAGCGGCAGCAGCAGAACTTCAAACCTTAAGCCCAAAACTGAAAAACTCTACAAACCCTGCATCTGCGACTGCGACCCCTTCTTATTTTAAGAAGTTCTAGGCCCTAAGCCCTATATCGTGCCATGTGTTGCGATCTTCCACACTCCAAATGATCCTAGTGTATCCGAAGCCCGTAGTGCAATTTTGAACCTTCAGAAGTCCGAAGCCCTAAGCAAGAATTGAGTTATATACCCCAGGGATCCAATTTAGCCCAAAGTACGTACTATTCATAGACTTTAGGGCCCTGTGTACGTATTAATTTTCGATGAAGGCTTGGATCCCTTGGGTATATGGTAAAAGCCCGGAAACAGTAGAAACTCCCGACCCCTAAACCCCTAACCGAACCCATCAACCCCTAATAAATATACTAGTATTAGTGCTTCAGCCCTTAAACCCTCAAATTCCTGACCTTGAACATCTGAATCCAAAGGCCGCGAAAATCCAAGCTCAAGAATGGGATTCACCGTTTAGGGGCTATAGGATTAGGGCATAGATGTGTAACAATATATTGGGTTTGGGAGTTCATCAGAGTTTAGGGGATAGGGTTCCTGGGAGTCTCGTTGGCCTGATGTTCTGCGCCACCTCTTCTTCTATAATTACTATATTATTAGCATTGCTAGTCCTATATATATATATATAGATGCTATTCTTATAATATACGTTACTACTACGATACGATTACTATTACTATTTCCATAATATTGGTATTACTATTTCACTGTTACTACTGAAAACTAGTCATATTATACATGCTACAATACCATTATCATATTGGTACTACCTACTACTAGCTACTACTACTAGCTACTATTACTACTACTACTACTGCTGCTACTACTGCTGCTACTTTAATATTCTACTGCCACTACTACTGCCACTGCACCACACTCTTTCCCTCTGAAATGCATCTGTGTTGGCAGGATGGACTGGCGTCGCAGATCGAGAATGACGACCTTGATGGGAGGTTGCTTAAGGTTACATCAGCGAACTCGGCATACAAGACGGCGTCGAAGCATGTAAAGATCCACTGCACCCAGCCCAAAACGGCAAAGGCTAAGGCAAAGGGTGCTGCAAAAGCAAAGGCGAAAGCCAAAAAGTAATTTTACGAAACCTTCAGATCTGTTCCACCGAAGAGGTGCTTGAGACTATGTGACCAGCTCTCTGCTAGTTAGCCTTGTGAGGAGGGGTTGCCTGTCCAACGCCAGAAAGAGCTTCCGGGTGTAAACCACTTAGTTTGGTGTAGTTAAACATCAGTACAGCTTAACTTGCTGGCGTGCAGCGATAGCATGGGCCCACAGGGACGGAGCAGGGCAGTGTCCTTGGCACGGCCAGAGATCTCGAGCTCACACAGCAAAAGACGTTGGGGTTTGCAAGCTGTCTTGGAAGTACTAGTGGTCTAGTTCTGGGCCTGTCATCAGGGCTTACGGTTTAGGGGGTTTAGGCTTTTAGGGTGTAGGGTTTAAGGGTCAGGGTTTGAGGATTTAGGGTTTAGGGCTTATAGGATTTCGGGGTTAGGGGTTAGGCTTTTCGGATTTAGGGCTTAGGGGTTAAGATTCTAGGTTTTAGTGAGGGTATATTCTAGCGTTTTACGGTTTGCCTGCAAGCGTCCCATCAGGTACATGTAGAGTGTATAGGACTTTGATTTGAGAGGAGCCTTCTTTGCGTGCATGGGGCTATACGTCTATACCAACCCAGAATTCTGGACCCTGCATCTTAGCCCTTGTGCAGCCAATGAACGTATTCGTGCTAATGTGCTCATACCTTGAGCTCCCCCCCACGCAGGTGATAGTTACTTCGCAGATCATTTGCTTCGCAACCTCGGCACTGGAGTGTGCCGGCCTCAATTTGGTAAGACATCGATATCTTTTCTGGTAGTCTAAACCCTACAACCCTAGCTAGGACTAACCTCAGCTAACCTGTCTGGTCACCATCAAACCTGATCGCAGGCATCTACAGCAGCTGCAATGCAGGCAGCAGCAATGGCCATGGTCAAGGAATCTGAAGGACATGCAAGCTACCTAACACGGAGAATCGCTGCAGCGGGGAACTTTGGCAAGCATGCCAACAATGTGGCCAGAGATGTCAACAGAGCACTTAACTTACCCCTTGCATCTCAGCTGCATGAAATCCTGACCTGGTCCGAGACATGTAGTGTACATGCTGCAGTCTAAGAGTTTCTGCGGCTGTGCTTGCTAGTGGTGCTGATGACATGGCTGTTGCTGTGGCTGCTGCTACTGCTGCTCTGCTGCGTGCTATTGCTGCTGCCGCCGCCTCCGCCGCCGCTGCTGCTGCTGTTGTTGTTACTGTTGTTGTTGTTGTTGCTGGTGCTGCTCCTGCTGCTGCTGCTGCAGCTGCTGCTGCTGGTTCCCGCCACTGCTCCGCTGCTGCTGATTTGGGATTTCATTGGGAGAGAGCTTTACCTTTCAAATTTTTGTAGCTGCTATTCTATGGGCCCAGTGGGGGGTGAGCCAAGGAGCTCTTTCATGTTACGGTGCCCATAAAGGATGTCAATGATCCCAATGGCCAGAAGGAGGCTGAGTTTCGATGTCCGCTTGTTCTTCCACATGAGCTTCATGAGCTTTTGGCTGCAGCTCGGATCTGGACTACAGCAGCTTACAGGGTATGGTTATTCGAATTTGAATTCAAAGTAAATTAACCCTATTGACCTAATTACCTTACACTTGTACACCTCAGATCCTCAGTCGTGTGAACCCTAAACTTTAGCTGAACTTGCCGCAGAATGTCTGCCAAGGAAACCGGCCGCATCCGTGTATCGGCCAAGCAGCTGGATGAGTTCTGGCTCCACGAGCAAGCGCACAGTCCGACGCCACTCGGCAGCCGCATTGGCGCGCTTCCTCTTGGAGTGTGGGGGGACGACGCACGCTACAACCGTAGCGGCCAAAAAATAGTACTCATAACCGTCAACTGCCTCCTTCACGAGAGTGCCAGAAGCTTGGAACATAATGCATTTCCTGATTCAGGATGTTTCGAACCTGTATGTGTAACCTGGGATAGCCCAATATTCCCCCACCTAGGGATCCAACTAGCCCAAGGTAGATTTTGATATATTTATTTACGACCCAAAGTAATTCAGCCCCATATACTTCTAGACTTGGATTCCTAGGTGTGGGTGCCCCAAATAACTAACATGCGAAAATAAATGGCATCACTCAGGAACTGAACTCAAACGCTACCCTCTGGTAACAATTCGCGAGCACCTATGCTTGGGCTTCAAGACGTTGCGTCCTATATTCCGGGTCCTAACTTGGAGCTTCAATGCCTCTAGATTGCATGCAATATCTAACAGCATCCTTCTCGAGGTTGAAAGCTCATGGAGTTCTTGCAGTGTGTTCACTTGCCATAGTGTATCATAATACACAGAACCCCCCACGATGTTTGATGCAATGGACCCCAGGCATTATACAACGCGAAGCACCCGACTTGTGATCCAGATGGCTTTCCCCTCCCTGCCCGAATGGCAAAGAAAGCTGGGTCCTTGATCGATGGAGGCCCCTTCAGCTGCTAGCGATCACGGATCCCCATCCCATTGCAGCATTAGAATATGGCCATGGGTTTAGGGTTTATCAGGGTTTGGGGAACGTTTATACATATGTACAGGGCTACATTACTATAATGCATACTCTGAAAACCCCAGCAGCCTTTGAAATCCAAATCGTTATGAGGACGGCGTGCAGTCGTTCACGAACATCGTGGAGACTGGAAGTGGGCTAAGGAATGCTGGAACCTTACAGCCAATTGGCACTGGAAAGCAAAGAGTTCCTGCCATACATGTACGGCTACCCACAAGGGCCCTGACTCGATTTTTGGCTCATTTAGAATGCGTTTAGCGTTTAGGGATATATGTTCTGGAGTTTGATTAGCTTCAAGGGACAGGGTACAGGTAAGTGGAAGAGGGGCTACAAGTGCCAGCCAGCTAGCTAGAGCCTTACATGCCAGGTGGTCGCGAGATTTGACCCGTCAGTTCCAACGTCGCTCTCACTCAGACTGCCTGGTGCATGCGATGGGTGAGCTGAACCCTCTGGTGTTACTGGAAGGATTTCGATGTGATCAAATTAAAGCGTGCAGCATGCACGTGGTCAACCTCGGGTTTCTTCAAACCCACAACGGTAGTGCAGTAGTGTTACTTATGGCCTATGGCCGCCCAGCTGGAATTTGCCAGTTTTTTTTTGGAATTGGGCCCTTAAACACCCTTAACATCCTTATGTGGTTTTATATTCCCCACATTATCCCTAGAGAGCTCGAGGCTTTTGGGGACATCCAAATGATGATTCAGCAGCCCTTCGCGCAGCTACTATGGGACTTCGGAAGTGGGCAGCCTCGCAGAGACCGAAAGTGGAGAACCCAAGCTTGTCTTGGATCGATATGATTATGAATAACGGTGATCTAGGGTTATTCAGCTTTAGGGCTTATAGGGTTTAGGGTTAGAGGGTTCATAAGGTGTCAGGCTATCAGGATATCAGGGTTGAGTTGCTTTTTACATATCCCTTAGAAATCGTACGGTTGAAATCTAAAGTAGATATGGGGCTTATAGGGCTGATCAGGTATGGAATTTAGGGTTTGGTTTTTTTGTCGCATTTTTCCTCATGTCAGGCACTCGGTGCAAACGATCACGACTGGTATGCTCCATGATCGTAGCTCTGATGCCGGTGACCACGCATGCCTTACGCTCAAGGCATGGAATGGAAGGATCTTCCTGGCCTATCTTGACCACTGCCTCAACCACCAACTGGAATCAAATCAGGCATCTGGCCGTCACGATCCGGAGCTGGTGCTGGCAACAGTGGCCACGCGGAGTTTGCTGTTGTGGTTTTGCGAGCAGGAAGGTGCACACAAACGATACCTCACGGAGGAGCAAGCGAGGACCATACATCGGCATGGTATCCAGTATCTGCAGTATGCTGAAGCCCTGTCCCAGCATGCCAGTGGTAACAACCTCTTGAGATGGAAAGTTCTACCAAAGCATCATGACTCTCGGCTCATTTTGTAAGGCAAATAGTTTTCCATTGATTCATCTTCAACATTTCCAGTAGTTTCTTATCAGCAGATCCCAGGTTTACCTTCATTTGCAAGAGGATGTCTTGAGAACCAAGACAAATCCCAGAGCATACCATTGCTTTATGGATGAAGATGCAGTTCTTCAATGGAAAAAGCTTGCTGTTGGCATGCCTTCCACTATGATGGAAGAGCGCATGATGATGCGTTATCTAATTCGCCTGAGTCTGAAGCATGCGTGAGCTTCAATTAGCAATGCCTACCTGTGAGTTCAAGCGAAAATGGCCTCTGAGTGAGCCTTAGGGATCCAAGTGAATAAATCATAGCGCCCCTAAAGCTCTTAAAATACTTCTAGTTGGTGGTTTGGGATCCCTAGGGGAGGGTGCTTACATGGTGAACCCATGGCCACAAGAACCATCAGTTTCTAGTAATTTTCCGTGGAAATTGTTCTTCCCGAATGTCTGCTTATATCGTGAACGTTGGCCTCTCAGAGGCAATGCCTGCATTTCTTGCCTACGTTCCCAATGTATGCTTCTCATGCTGACTTTGGAGCGCCTGGGAATGACCCCAATAAGAGGGCTTCAGGGCCCCGAATACAACTAATAATACCGTATTAGGGCCCTAAAGCCCTATTATTTGGGTCCTTGGACTCTTAACCCTTAACCTCCCCCTACAACCCCTTTAAAGGGACCCTATTATTCGGATCCTTGGACCCTTGGGGCTAATCCTAATCCCTGACCATAAGCTCTAAAAGCTCCGGTCCAGTTAGCAGACCAAGCGTTGGCCCATGGTCGAAGCCAAGAGTCCTCGGGTTTAGGATTTAGGGTTTCGGGGCTAAGCCTTCAACGCTGAGGTCGAAAGCCCCAAAACCGGAAACCCCTCATCTTCCTTCCCACAAACAACAAGACATTAGGGTTTAGAGTTTAGCGCTTAGGGCTTGTTGTGTAGGGTTTAGCGCTTTGGGTTTTCAGTTTAAGGTTTGGAGGTGAGGGTTTGGAGCTTGGGGTTCAGGGCTTAGGGCTCGATTCCAAGCCTCATGACGCATCGAATCTTCTCAGCCTTGAATGCCAAGATGCATGGACAAACTCCTGCATGAGCCCAGGCATACATATGCGGGGTATACCATGTTCAGTCAACCCTGAACCCTTACACCTGTAAGCTAAACCCTAGACCCTGTAAATCCCCAAAACGTGTGCCTGAAACTGCCCTGAACTCCAACCCTAAACCCTAAACCCTAAACAAGCCCAGAGCCCTACATAATCATTATAACTACCTGCATAAACCCTATATAACCCTTTTCAATTTCCCTAAACCCCAACCCTAAACCCTACCAGCCCAGATCCCTACATAAGCACTATAGGTACCTATATACCGCCTTTTAAAATCCTTATAGCAACAGCAGAATAAGTGGTATACCTCAAACTCTAGATCTCAAACCCCAACCCCAACCCCTAAGAAGCCCTAAACCCTAAACCCCTAAGCCCTAAACCCTAAACCGCTAAGCCCTAAACCCTAAACCCCTAGATCCTAAACCCCTGAGCCGTAAACCAGCAGCAGGACAAGTGGGATGAGGGCATTCTGGAGGCCCGAAAGCTTCTGGGCGACTGGGCCTAAAGGTCACCCAAAATGAGTGGGTTGTGGGTTTAGGGTCAAGGGTCTAAGGTTTAGGGTTTAAGGTTCAGGGTTTTGGGTTTAGGGTTCAGGGTTTGGGGTTTAGGGTTCAGGGTGTGGGGTTTAGGGTTGAGGGCTTAGGGTTGAGGGGTGAGGGTTTATGCTGGGGTTCTGTGGATCCATTTACAAGAAGAGATTCTGAGGTTCTACCTAGCAATTGAAGGGTTCAGGGTTTAGGGTTGAAGGGTCAAAATCACGAAGCTGTAGCTAAATGGATCCACACGCGCATCTGGGGGTCTAGGGTTGAGGATTCAAACCCGAAACCCTGAATCCTGAACCCTGAACCCTAAACCCTAAACCCTAAATCCTAAACCCTAAATCCTAAACCCTAACTCCTAAACCCCAAGCCCTAAACCCTAGACCCTGAACCCTTTCAGGGTTTGAGTTGCAGGGCTTCAGGGTTCAGGCTTTAGGAATTCAGGAACCCATAGGCCTCTACTACGGACTCTGAATCCTGTGGTGCTTATATACTTTTTAGGAAGCAGCAAGTAGACAAGCCCAGAACCCTAAATCCGTAAACCCCAAGCTCTCAAAGTCTAAGCCATCGGGGCCTTCAAACCCCGCAAACCCCTAAACCCCGAAACCCACAACCCCTCAACCCCCAACTCTAAACCCTAGACCCCTAAACCCCTAAACCCTAGACCCCCAACCCTGAACCCTTAAACCCCTAAACCCCAAACCCCAAACCTCGTACACCCCCCAACCCAAAACTGGGTTGCTGTTAAGGAATTTAAATTAAGTTACTATATTGGGGAAACCCTATTATTTACTTTTTCTACCCATTATGGTAACCCCTAAACCCTAAACCCTATACCCTAAACCCTAAACCCTAAACCCATTATGGTAACTTTATTTAAGTTGCTTAACAGCAACCCAGAAGATGAACTTGTCGCCTGCGACGGACAT